CAGCAGGCTAAACCTATTCGAATCAAAAGGTGTATAAATATTTATTACCTCCCTCCTAGTTAGCTTTTTAATTGTCATAATCTTACTGATTCCCTCTTCCTTCTCCCACTTGGAGCATTTCTTTTTCTCATTTACCAAGTGGTTGGTCTCCCCACACGTAATACACTTGGCATTACTGTACACTTGTTTACATGGTTTCCACACTTTAAACATTTTTTGTTGGCTCTGCAGGCTTTCCCTGTGTTCTCTAACCTGCCGCAGTTAAAACACTGCCGTATGTAGGGATAGAAGTACTCAACTTCGATAATGGTGTGGTTAAACTTGATCTCTTTGAGTAGATTATTTGAGGCAAAGCCTATAGGTTGGAATTCTGTTTTCACTTTCACGAATCTCGCGTATCAAAAATCTTTGTACTAAAGTTATTTTAACATCAGAAATTGCCTAATTTTTTATTTCCTCCGCTGTGATATCCAGGGGTATGTCCTTAATCAACCCATAGGTTTCATAAATGCTCTGAGAATAAAGGCCCTCATTTGCTTTTCCTTTAACTTTTCATTTAATACCATCTCATTTGCCGATTTGATGTTTGTTACACCTAGCTTGTAGAGCCTAACCCCTATTACTTTAATTGTGTCAATGTCTTTTAAACCCATAACTTGGATCTTGCTGGTGACTAACTCCGATTTTGATGTGTCGATTAAGACATATGTATATTTCCCATTTGTGGTCGTATGGATAAAAAATTGTTTCACTTTTTGTATTTTGGCGCATTTCATAATGACCCTTACTAATGTCATTTCCTATGGACAGGTTTTGTTTCCCGACATTTGCTTTTGCTATCATTTGATTTTCCTCTTCCACTTCTGCTTGTCTGGCTTGTGCCGTTTTATCATGTACGTACGGTGACCATCCGTCCTTTATTTTAAAGGACAGTCCTTTATTTTACCCCCCTGTCCTTTATAATTTTTTTCAAAATAAAGGACACCTTTTGTCTTTTATTTCTTAAACTGTCCTTTAAATCGGCTCTGCATTTTTCAGAGGTAATTTTTAAACGCAAAATATGAAAAATAAAAATGCTCCTTTTAAAATATAATGAAAACCTTCGCCAGTTTGTTTCGCACCCCACTTAAGGGTTTCTATTTAATCGGTTATCATTGTACAATCTGCAAAGCACAGGGAAGGTTGTGCCCAGGATCGTCTTGTACGCTGAGTTTCCAGTTCCACTGAAAGAGAACACTGCACTGTGGATCAAAACTGGCATTTAGTGTTCGTAATTCACTAGAGCCTTCATTTTTCACTTCATTTGATTAATTTTAATTTTTTTATGAAAGCTTACAATATTTGAAATGGACCAGTTGAGCCTGATTTCTGAATTTTTATTTGATTATAATAAATTTTTTTGCGCAAAATGTAGAAAAAGTAGCAGTTTTGAAGAAAATGTATTCTCCTGTTCCAGTTAATAAATGTTACATAACAGAAACTAGTTGAAAACCATTGTATAGTTCACTCAAAACAAAAAAATTTTGAAATGTTATAAAAAATGTTCACCAAAATATTTTTTTATTTGCTTTGTAGTAAAAAGTGGTTGGAAAATTATGGCTCCGGTGGATTATGAATATTAAATTCCAATTTTGAACCACTGTGTGCTGGCTTCGTCTCGCAGTATGAATTATGATAAACGCATTTTGGTAGCAAGGGATTGCGAAGTCCTTGAAAAGGATTTTGCTTCATTTTTCGCTACAGCAGGGGAACTTGTACAATTAAATAATATAATTAACTGATAAATATTTGATTTAAATTACGATATGGGTAAGGAACTGTTATCATACAAGTTGTATGTATGTAAGTATTCCCAAATCGTTTTGAAAAAAATGTCCTTTATTTTACGTTGGTTAATATGGTCACCGTACATGTACGTCATGTTAGTCATATCTTTCATGTATGTTATATACATGAGCGTGATTCTCATTCCTAACCTCTTGATTAATATTATTGGCAGAACTGCCGGTTACCACTATTATTACCAGGGCCGTAGCCAAGATTTTTTTTTCGTGGAGGGCTGGGGGGTGGCGATTCTGGCATTTTTTTTTTACTTTCACTTTTATTTCAACAAATTTTGATTACAAGAAAAATACTGATAAAAACACAATTTTTCATAAGAACAGGATTGAAATCTTGAAATTCCTGCCCGTTTGCAAGTCAAATATGAGTGGCATTGTGCTACTATGATAGCACGGCCGAGTAATTATAGCCAACTTATGTACAGTAGTCGAAAAAATTATAGCCGCACCAAATTTTGACAAGTTTTAAAATATTATTTTTGTTATTTAATTTCGGTTAGTTTTTTATAGTTCGTTCTTTACCAACATCCGTTAGAAATACAAGTTCAAGGGCAGTGTCACACGATTGGGTATTTGCCAAAATTTGGTGTAAATCGTATCCCAATTGTTTGAACACCCANATTTTTATTTGATTATAATAAATTTTTTTGCGCAAAATGTAGAAAAAGTAGCAGTTTTGAAGAAAATGTATTCTCCTGTTCCAGTTAATAAATGTTACATAACAGAAACTAGTTGAAAACCATTGTATAGTTCACTCAAAACAAAAAAATTTTGAAATGTTATAAAAAATGTTCACCAAAATATTTTTTTATTTGCTTTGTAGTAAAAAGTGGTTGGAAAATTATGGCTCCGGTGGATTATGAATATTAAATTCCAATTTTGAACCACTGTGTGCTGGCTTCGTCTCGCAGTATGAATTATGATAAACGCATTTTGGTAGCAAGGGATTGCGAAGTCCTTGAAAAGGATTTTGCTTCATTTTTCGCTACAGCAGGGGAACTTGTACAATTAAATAATATAATTAACTGATAAATATTTGATTTAAATTACGATATGGGTAAGGAACTGTTATCATACAAGTTGTATGTATGTAAGTATTCCCAAATCGTTTTGAAAAAAATGTCCTTTATTTTACGTTGGTTAATATGGTCACCGTACATGTACGTCATGTTAGTCATATCTTTCATGTATGTTATATACATGAGCGTGATTCTCATTCCTAACCTCTTGATTAATATTATTGGCAGAACTGCCGGTTACCACTATTATTACCAGGGCCGTAGCCAAGATTTTTTTTTCGTGGAGGGCTGGGGGGGTGGCGATTCTGGCATTTTTTTTTACTTTCACTTTTATTTCAACAAATTTTGATTACAAGAAAAATACTGATAAAAACACAATTTTTCATAAGAACAGGATTGAAATCTTGAAATTCCTGCCCGTTTGCAAGTCAAATATGAGTGGCATTGTGCTACTATGATGGCACGGCCGAGTAATTATAGCCAACTTATGTACAGTAGTCGAAAAAATTATAGCCGCACCAAATTTTGACAAGTTTTAAAATATTATTTTTGTTATTTAATTTCGGTTAGTTTTTTATAGTTCGTTCTTTACCAACATCCGTTAGAAATACAAGTTCAAGGGCAGTGTCACACGATTGGGTATTTGCCAAAATTTGGTGTAAATCGTATCCCAATTGTTTGAACACCCACAATATTTTTCACTATCTCAATCACGAAAATTAATTTATTGAAATTTTTCAATAGAACATCGCTGTATTGTACCAATCTTTTGACTACAAAAAAATTTTCCCATTTTTTTTACCAATAGCCCAATATAAAAATGTACAAATCTGTACAAAGGTACTAATCGAGTGACACTGCCTTATGCAATTTGAAAAAACAACNTTACCAATAGCCCAATATAAAAATTTACAAATCTGTACCAATGTATCAATCGAGTGACACTGCCTTAAAAATTTATGCAATTAAAAAAAACAAGTTTTCGTTAAAATTTCGAGTTTTTTAATTAGATTCTGAGTATGCAGTTGTGTAGCCCATTGAATTCTAGAAGAATAAAGTACAAGTACAAATGGCTAAAAATGTCGATTGATTTTTAGAAATTTTAAAAGTTCGAAATTTGTACGAAAGTTTGTTGATTTTTTTTTAATATTGCAGAAATGAGTAGTCCACTTGCAAACAACGTTATGTGATTTTATAATAGTGAGCCACAAATTAAAAAAATGTCTACAACAACAAGTAACATCCAAATTGTAAATTCGGATAAACAAGACCCTAATAACATTAAAAAACAATATCGCAGTGTGGTAGTTTTTGAAAATTTTATATATAAAAATTTAATATAACGAGTTTTGAAACAGTAATTTTTAACATGAAGATTGGTCTGCTTCTTTTTTACGACGCCTTCCACTAGGCACCGAAACTATCACGTTTTCTTACAGTTTTCTAAGTTCATCAGAAGATGGAGACTTTTGAAAGTGTATAAATAAGTATTATAACGACTTTTGCAATAGTAGTTAACATCTGATGCTATTTTTTCAGAAAATAGAAAGATTTTGCACTGTATTGTTAGTGGCCATGAAACTACTTTAAATACTGGTACGCGTTACTCACCAAAAACTAAAAATCTAAAAAAAATTTACATAGCGCCTTTGCAAGTGGACTCCTCAAATTTGGAAACATGGATTTCCACGGGTTTTGTTAAAGAATGAACTATATTTTTATTTAAAAAAATAACAAAAGTTCAATAACACCAAATATAATACGTTAAAACTTGGCAAAAAGTGGTTCGGTTATAATTTTTTGACCACTGTATGTATTTTTTTATATCTTTAATTGGACCTTCACATTGTACATAAAGGAAGTACATAACAAAATTAAAAAATATATGCCCTTTTTGGCCTTTTCTTAAAGCTCATTTTGCCTTTTTGCAAGTTTAAGTGCCTTAAAAACCTACACTTCTACATTTAGGGGGGGTTTCAGAACACCTAACTGTTATTAAACGGATTAGAATTTGTTGTAACCTGACAAATTTCCACTTCCATTTGCCTAGGAAGTACCACGTCTTCCTCATTGTCTTTTTCCTGACTCTTGACTTTGACCTGGAGGATGCCTCCCGGTCAGACCCCGCCATGGTAGCAGATGACGCTGCCACGTTACGCCACACAACCATTCTCAGGCTTTTTTTTAACCACAAATCCACACAAAATTAAGAAAATCGAAAAATATGATACTCACTATTGCCTGTGTAGATCGCTCAACACCAAAATGCACTTAAGAACAGTAAATTGTTTTGAGTTTTTATTCTTCACTCACCAGCACAGAAAAACCACCTTTCCCACTCGAACGTTGAATAAAAGCATAGACAGACGGCAGCGTTGATCCGGATTAATTGCACACTTAATCTGATCCAAATTTTACCCTAACGGACGGCAACATTGCGGATTAAGTAAACAGCTGATTTAGTGGTTTTATTATTTTGAGAGTTCTTCAAGTTAAAATGGACAGAAGACGACAAATAAAATTGGCGACTGCGTTGTTGATAAAAAACGATTATTTATTAAAAAAAAAAGATTACATTACTTTTGCTGAAACTTCTCCAAAACATAAAAATATTCAATGAAGCAAAGGTAGTGATGCAAACTAGTACTGCATTCGCTCATTCTGAGATAAGATCAAGGCCAGTTTGGAAGTTTGTAAGTACATATTATATTATGTACATATATATAATATTATGTATTTATATATATAAATATTAAAAACATTCGTTGAAGGACCGTAATGGCACTTTTTGGGAGTTTGATGTGTTCAGAATGGATGACCACCGATTCAAGGAAAACTTTCGGCTCAACAAAAGTGCGTTTCAAAAAGTGTGCGAGAAGGTTCAAAGAATCGAGAAGATGGACACCAACATGAGACTTTGCATCCCTCTTCATAAGAGGGTGGCCATTGCATTATTTGCACTAGGCTCGTCAGCGGAATACCGGACCGTTGCCAGCTTATTCGGTGTAGGACGCAGCACAGTTGTAGAAATTGTTCTATATTTTTGTAACGCAGTTTGTGACAATTTATTGGACTGCATCAATTCCTATCCGCCACATCCCGAAGAACTGAAGAAAATTGTGCATGGGTTCGGACAACTGGGATTTCCCCAATGTTTTGGTGCTATAGATGGCTGTCATATAGAGGTTCAGCCAAAAAAAGAGGACGCAATCGACTATTATAATTATAAGGGCTGGTATTCAGTAAATTTATTTGCAAGTTGTGATTATAGGTATGTACATAAATTTGTTCGTATCCTTAGTAAAACCTTTTAAATATATATGTACTTTTCCCTTTGGCAGATCGAAATTTACCGATATACATGTCGGATCAAGTGGAAGAAACAATGATTCATACATTTTCGAAAGCAGTTCTTTAAAAAGTTACCACGAGAACGCTGATATTTTTCAACAGAATAGCAAACGTATTGGAGGCATGGATGTTCCCCTGCTACTTATTGGCGACTCAGCCTTTCGTTTATCGCGCTATTTGATGAAACCTTTTCCATTTCACCGAATCAGCCAGTTGTGGAAAAAACGTTTAACTACCGGTTATTCCGATGTCCGCGCGTAATAGAAAACGCGTTTGGTCAACTTAAAGCTCGATTTCGTAAAATAGGACGAGGTTTACAAGTAGCGCCAAAAAACGTTAATACTATTATCCGTACACGTTGTCTTTTTTCATAACTTTCTAAAAGTGGAAAATGATGCAATTCCTTCTACGTGGATGCAAGATGATGCAGATAACACAATTTCGTTTATCGCGCTATTTGATGAAACCTTTTCCATTTCACCGAATCAGCCAGTTGTGGAAAAAACGTTTAACTACCGGTTATTCCGATGTCGGCGCGTAATAGAAAACGCGTTTGGTCAACTTAAAGCTCGATTTCGTAAAATAGGACGAGGTTTACAAGTAGCGCCAAAAAACGTTAATACTATTATCCGTACACGTTGTCTTTTTTCATAACTTTCTAAAAGTGGAAAATGATGCAATTCCTTCTACGTGGATGCAAGATGATGCAGATAACACAATTTCGTTTATCGCGCTATTTGATGAAACCTTTTCCATTTCACCGAATCAGCCAGTTGTGGAAAAAACGTTTAACTACCGGTTATTCCGATGTCCGCGCGTAATAGAAAACGCGTTTGGTCAACTTAAAGCTCGATTTCGTAAAATAGGACGAGGTTTACAAGTAGCGCCAAAAAACGTTAATACTATTATCCATACATGTTGTCTTTTTTCATAACTTTCTAAAAGTGGAAAATGATGCAATTCCTTCTACGTGGATGCAAGATGATGCAGATAACACAATTGCCCAAAGACAACCCAACCATATTTCAAGAGTTGGCGAAAATGACATATCAGCACCTGCTATTAGGAACGCAATAGCTTTGAGCTTTCGTGAGTACACAAGTACCATGTGAAATACTTTTATTGTTATGCAATCCCGCTCTTAAAGAACCAAAAATAATCAAGTGTTTAAATAGGTAGGTAAAAATTTATATAACTATCTTGGATTATTTTCGATTCGAATATTGCCTAAAATTCCTGATTTAAACAAAAAATTCGTATGTATGCATATGCATATGTATAGTTGTATTTATTGCATATAAAAAACGATTGACATCATAATTTAAATTAAATTAAGAAAACAAAAACATTTCAAATAATAAAAATAAAACATACCACAGCCTTATTACTAAGACCTAAATCAACGAAAAAAAATTATTCAGATACAAAAAGATAAATTATACCACAGTCAGTGCGGCCAAAATGCCCAAGTCCATTTTTTCTTAATGTATATCATTTTGCACTCTATATATTGCAATGCTAAAGTGGACGTAAACTTTTTATTTTGACCCACATATTTTTTGCATCACTTTTTTAATAGTTCAAATATCAAAACATTGAAAATTAAATTATCTTTTGGATTAAAAGTAATTTACGAATATATAATATACTCTTGTGGTTATCTGATTAAGTTAAGTGACATTTTGATCCTTTATGGCTATTTTTCTTTTGTTTATTTGATGTTTATTATTGTTTTTATAAAAGTCTATCACATTACATAACCAGAACAACATAAATAAATATTTCGAACTTCAAACAAAACTTATAAAAATTCAGCGAACTTTACCAATTTGCCACAAAAATTTCAAACCATTTATTCAGATTTTTTAGAAAAAATGTATATTTAAGTATGCGGTTTCATAGCCCATTCAATTTCAGTACCATAAAGTGCAAGTTTCAAACGCTATAAAATCGCGTTGATTTTTAATATATTTTTTTGTTGTCGGTACTAGACATTTTCTTCCATATAAAATAAATTGCCGAGCATACTGTAAACGAAAAAAATGCAATAGGCTATGAAACTGCATACGTAAATTTAAATTTTGTCTAAAAAATCTGAATAAAAAGTTTAAATTTTTGTAAATTGGCAAAGTTTGCTGATTTTTTATAAATTTTGTACAAAGTTCGAAATATGTATTAATGTGGTGCTGGTTATTTAATATGATGGAGTTTTATAAAAAAAGTAATCACCAAATAAACAAAAGAAAAATAGCCAAATGTGGTCAAAATGTCACTTAACTTAATCTGCTGACCACAAGTGTACATACATAGATACTATTTACTAGCTCAGAAAGAAATAATAACGAAGAGATGGGTTAAAGTAAAAAGATCAGGTTCACGCTTAAATTAAACTTCGCCTGTTAAATTTTATCAATTAAACGTTCAGATGAGGAATTGTTTTCTTTAATTGCGTTAACAATTTCCCCCGTCAATGTCCTTGTGTCATCTGCAACAGATTGTAAAATGTCTGTCTGCTGTTTCAAAAGTTTTGTAAACTCATTTATGTTGTTTCTCCTTCTTCCAGTTGCCGACATGTCAAGTGGTGACAACGGAGACTGCAATGCCCCTGGTGTTACCGCAGTGGAGGAGAGTGGAGGTGGCGACAACGGAGACCGCGATGGCCCTGCTGCTGCAGACTGGATGGGTGGGGTTTAGTACCGCTCACAACTATTTCGGGCTATTCCGTCCAAATGGGTGGCCCGATCCAAAAAAAATTTCACACACTTGTAGTCAAGGGTCCACGCAATATTTTAACACTCACTTTTGTAAATTTTGGTCACTAATTTATTTACAAATTGGGTTTGAAATATGCCCTTTTTTGTAAAATTCGGAAATTAGCGTACATTTATCACTCCTATTCTGCTTAAATTAGCCACTTCACCAATATATTTTTGTATTCCCCTTCACTTTACACTTTACTTGATTTGTTATAACTTGCTTTACGACTTTTATATTAACCAATTCATCACAATTCATTAAATAAAAACACCTTCAAAATCACGCGTCTGACTTTGGTTGCATATGCAAATTAAATGGCGGAGTTCAGCTGTCAAACTCCAAAATATGCAAAAGAATGAGAGACAAAGAAGATAGGATATAACCCAGTAAGCATTAAAAATATACAAAAGTGTTCTCTGCAAAAGGTGTTCAGCTCCTTTTCTTCGCAAAACAGAAAGGAGAATTCTACTGCCTGAGGGTTATAATCCCTAAGTGCGGCCGAAGGCCGCCTACGTAGAAAGGTGTTCTCTGCAAAAGGTGTTCAGCCCCCCTTCTTTGGCAACACAGAAAGGAGAATTTACTGCCTGAGGGCTATAATCCCTAAGTGCGGCCGAAGGCCGCCTACGCAGAAAGGTGTTCTCTGTAAAAGGTGTTCAGCCCCCCTTCTTTGGCAACACAGAAAGGAGAATTCTACTGCCTGAGGGTTATAATCCCTATGTGCGGCCGAAGGCCGCTTACGTAGAAAGGAATTCTACGCAAAAATACATTTGTTAAAAAGAAAATTTTTTTTTATAACAACTTTTTTTTCTATTTTTAATTAACTTTTTATTCTTTATTCAAAATCCCCCCATATCTAATTTGGCATAATTTCTTTTATTAAAAAATCCCACGGTTTCTGTTCATATTCATATTCCACTTCAAACTGCTCAGTTTGCCTAAGAAAAATCCGTTTTTCCCCCTTTTTCAAACGGTTCCCTAGGTGTCTGTGGGAGGAGTCCAAGGGGGGGCCCCTTTTTAGAAAGCGGCGACTGTCTCCTTTCTATTGGGGGGGATTTGGGGGCCCCGCCCCCTCCCCCTCCCCCTCCGATCTCTTCTCTCTATTTACCATCTATAATTAGAAAAGCGTTTTTATATTCATTAAAGGCTGAAAAAAATTTAATAAGCTATAATTACTTACTTCTCGCAGTCGTAAAATGTATTTGTTTTGTTTATGCCATTAGTGATGTGCTGAGGTGATACTTTTAAGTATTGATCGATACTCGGTACCGATTTCAATAGTATCCAATACTTTCGATACTCGGTACCAAAACTTTTAGGCTTCCAATAAGAACGCATGTAGACCAAAGATAAAAGCGGTGCAGGGGAGCCTAGCCTATCAAAAGCAAGTGTTGAGGCTAATAGAGGGTTTAGTGCTGATTCAAATGAAAAATATACCTTTTTCATCGCCAAAATGCAGAGAAACTCTTCCTTATTTGAAACTTTATTTTCCCAGGTGAATCGGACGATGTTATTTTTGTAGGCCTCAAAGACTTCTTCATCCGTCAAAGCACTTTTCTTGAGTTTTAGATTTACGAAGGTGAAAACTGATAGAATGGTATTTTACTGTTGCGATAAGGCCAAGACGATGAGAGTGTAGTTTTGCGACAGCAATATTGTCAATATGTGATTTCCACATTGTTCAACTTTTGGGAAAGCATCGTTCTATTCGTACTAATTGTGAAGCATATTCATAGTCGAAAAAAGTCGATGCAGATTTCTTGACAGATATTATGTTGAAAATTATGTCAAAATGCTGCAATTATGTATAGAATAAGTTTTGGGTACCGAAAAGGAAGTATTGGGTACCGAAATACTGGGCAATTCAGCACATCACTATATGTCATTCACAAGGCTCTTTCACAATAGGCAGCTGCTGGCCGTTTTGAACAGTGTTGTCAACGAAAATTCCCATGATCCGAGTTAAGTTTGGGAATTAACTCTAGTACTTAGACTTAGACTTAGAACTTCAGTTAATTCCCGAGATAATTCGGAATTAGCGAGTTGATCCGGATCAACGCTGCCGTCTGTTTATGCTTTAACACAGATACGCCAATTACACTGTGAGACAAATGGTAGGGGTCAGTGATCGGGAAGGGTTCAAACTACCAGAGAAAGTTATATCGGTAAAAAAGAAGTTATACGTGTCCCGGCGTTTCGCTGGGTCACGTCTAGGAATCGAGATATATCGATTTCAAGTTAGTAACTATCATATAGGGGAAATTGTCACCTTTGGTGGTCTTTTTTTTGACATAACTCGAGAACTACTAGTCCGATTTTGCTCAAACAAATTAAAAAAAATTAAAAACTACAATTCCTTCAATCTGTTCATATAACGTTTTTCTATATAATCAACAGTTTTGCCGGTAAAAATAAATGTATGAAGAAAAAAAATATTTTTTGCCTAAAATATTAAATTTTTTTATTTTTTAAATTCATAAAAAATCCAAAACGGAAAAAAGGCAAGTCGTATTACTTTCACGCAAAGTCACATAACCTTTAAGCAAAATGAGACATAGATCATGAAAATCGATGGACGCGTTTCGCTTTTATTCACAATTAAGTGAAGGTATCTCATTTTGACAAGAATATTGATTTTATGTTTCAATACTAACTTCAAATCGATATATTTCGTTTCCCGTTGGTTTCATCCCATCCCGATTTTGACTGTCGCATAGTGTTATTTTAAGAAACATTGAATTTTGCAGTTTTAAATTTGAAGTGTTGTGGTAGGCCGCGTGGCGATTATTACGAGCGAGTATCCCAGTTTAATTCGTTATTCCAAGTGAACCCCAAAAATCTTCCCACTCAATTACTCTCGCTAGGTATTGGAAGTTTTTTTTGCCTATTATTCTCTTTCAGCTGAACCATCTCTCCTGTATGCAGGCGCCTACATCACATGTGAGATTGGTAAGTGCTAGAACGTAAAGCTCTGGTTTACTTACTTAGCTCTATGCTATATTCCTCCCCGATCTGACTTATCAGTGTATTCACAACATGTATCTTTACTGAAATCAATTAATTCAATGATTAAACCCTCTGATTCATTGATTGTGTTGGGTGACTTTAATTTACCAAATGTATCATGGAACATCATTGACAATGATATTGTACCTTTCTCGTCTAGCGC